TAATTTACTTAGTGAAGAATAATCGAATTTACACGTGCATACGTGATTGTACTGGTCCTGCGCGGCGTCACACGTTGTGCAGCTACCCTAATGGATTAGTACATAGTTATTACAGCTACAAGTCATTCTTGTACCTGGTAAGTTACCGATAGGTTTAAACTCAACATAGTTTTATAATGCCTTATGATTTAACTGATTTGAAAGTTAATTAAGGAACTTGAAATCATCTGAATAAGCAAAATGCTTTTTCAAGAAAGCCTTAGAAATTAAAGGTCTATTAATTTAGATTAACAAAAATATCTAACTCCAATAGTAATTCTCCGTAGATTTTTACTATGAAATTTATGTGACCTACCACTTAATATTTGCAATTTCTAATGCAGTTAATGTTGCATTCTCATGAAATTCATATATACTGAATTTAATTCCGTTAAAGTTATAAATATAAAAGTAATTACATATGTATAAATCTTTAATATTCATCCGCAGAAGCATTGAAAGTATAGATTGCTTAACTATTACAATCCTGTCAACAAACGCGCACCTACAGTGTTATTTAAAAAGTCCTCATCATATAAAGCCAATCTTTTACTCAATTTCAAAATCATGACTAAACTTTAATGATTTCATAAAAGTTGTGTAATCAAATAATAGTTTTGGATAATTTGGAATAGTGATTTTCATTGAAATTAATATTTTTTGTTCCTCTTCACTTAATGCTGAAATACATGTTCTAATTATCTTTATATTTATTAAGTTGGCTGATGGATCATTCCGTAATATTGATAATATTGATACAACGTTACTACACCATTGTCGGTTTACGAGAGGGCAATAAAATAAAATTTTATGATCAATCCAAGTGTAGTTGAATATCATAAAAATACATTCGTTAGGAAATGTTGTCATTTTATTGAAACGTCGATATAATATGAATGAATGAATGAATGAACAATTCTACCCTAAATCCTAACCTAACCCTAAAAAAAAAAAGAGGAAAAAACACTTCAAAAAATTTTTAAAATTTCACAACAATAGTCCGTATGTCAGTATCAGCCAATTTCAGCATCAGCCGTGACAATAAATAAAGGCAAAACTGCTTAAGAAAAAAAAAATTAATTTAATTCTAAAGCCTAAGATCCAATAATTATTATACCAATTCATAAATGTCACCATTTTTTCTAATTTTAAATATTTTTATCAAATATCGTTTTTATGGTAAAAATTATCATGACTAGACAAACTAAGTCGTCAATTTTATATGTAAAATAAGGCCATTTTTAGTTGATTTTTAGATAACGTCATCCCCTCTCGCTTAACTGCCTCCCCCGAAAATTAGACAAGCCAATCACAACGCAGCATAAACTTCATTAATCATGTGATTAATGTTGACCAATCAAAAATTCTTGGGACTATATGTGTTTGTTTAAATCCCCCCTCCCCGCCTGAGCCTAAATATCGACGTTTAACCTAAAAATCAACTAAAAGTGGCCTAAGAGATAATGAGTTATAACAACAATAAAGATTCTTTTAATTCATTTTAAATGAATGTTTAAAGCTAAAAATTATATGAAGTTTTTGCTTCAATTTTTCTATGTGTTTCGTGTCAATTTATACTATAATGATTAGCTTTGAAATTTTTTTCGCAATTATTTTGCGCAGTAAACGCAAACATTATTTATTACTTTTACGCCGAATTTTTTTTTATTAATGAAACGTTACATTCCTAAAAAGTACTTTAAGTTTATAAATAAGTTAAACGGGAAATTGATTTAAGCAAATCGGATAAATGTCGTCCTATGTGTCGGTCCGCTGTTTCAGTTCGACTCGAACCTACACATTCGGAATTACTGGTACTTGGCTAAATGAAATCCAAGTATGGAAATTTTTAATGAGTTATGAACACTCAGTTTTATTTCTTTTTTGTATTTTGTCATCACAAAGTATGATAAGTATGGTAAGTATAGATTCTTATTTTTTACAAATTAATCGGGATACAATTATTCATATAAAAGTTCTTTTTTTAGAAAACTCACTTTACATATCCATTAATAAAAATAAAGATTGTATACAGATTGTATACAGATATTGTTAAAAGATACCGAATATGAACCAAATCTATTTTCCTACTTTCTCACGCGGTGTTTAGTGTTTCACATTTTAGGAGGAGCATTTAAATATCAAAATCAAAAACATTTTTCCTCCATGAATTCATGATTTGCATAACGAATAAAATTGTAAGGGGAGTGAAACATAAAATTCAAAATAAATGGTAGTTAGCGTTGATTGACAGATAAATAATACAGTAACGTCGCATTTGTTTGCATAAATGTTTTTGTAATAGATTTTAAGATTACTAAGACATAAAAGACAATGATTTACTGTTAGGTTTAAATTCGAACAAAGGTAAACTTTTTAAGTGTATCACCGTGTTACAAAAATTTTATTGTCTTGACTATAAAACAAATATAAGATTTAATTAAAACTTGAATACAGTATTAAATTTAAATATTAACCCGCTCTAAGAAATCACGCGCTATTATAATGTGTAATCATATTAAAATAAATCATTAACTTAATAGGATATTAAAATATAATATCAAATAATTATTAATTATCAAAGGCTTATGTATAATAAATAAATGCTTATTGTATCGACATTTGATTTTTCTAGCCAATATACCTCCAATTAGGATGTGAATCGCACAAAATATCGTCGAATTTTGGTTCATGATCCACTAATTTTGCAGCCTTTTCTCTAATTAACTTAGTATCTTTTATTTCATTTTCACTTAATTGAACCTTATTATTGGATAATATGGCCAAATCACGTCTTTTATTCTCATATTCCAAATGAAATTTCATCCCAAGAGCTAAAACAAATTGAGCAATCAACGCACTCAAGGACACTGTCAGCCCGTCATTAAATGCAGGAGCCATGGTTCGTTGGAAGAGTAGAATTCCAATCACGCCCCCAACATTACCGATGGTAAGAGCTGCTGCAATCGTTACGTTGCGTTTATATTGACCAACTAATTTAGAAATTAAAATATAGTAAAATTAGAATTTTTTTAAATTTTTTATAACATCTAAATAAAGGTTACTTACCAATATTGCAAGTAAGCCAACTGTAAACTATCGTTTGTTGTGTATATACACCACATGCCACAAGTGTTGTGAAAAAATAACGTAATTTGTATAAACTTGGATCAATAGCAGATGTTGCTACCATTCCTGCACATCCTGCGATGCCAATGATATCAGCAACCATAATAGGTACAGCTCTGACTTGGTATTTATCGGCTAACCAAGAAAATATCAGCATTACAACAGTTGCTATTACAAATGGTGGTACGCTCATTAATTGAGTGTCCACAGGATTAAAACCAAGTTGGCCCACTAAAGTTGGAAGGAAATAATTAAGGGCATTAAATGGAATTGCTCCCAAAGTTGTAGCTAATATATAAGCGTAAACTCTGAGATCAAGAAACGCGCTTATAGCTTGAGATTTAACAAAACTACGATCTTCCTCGTCAACACCACCTTCTGGTTTAAGACGATTAATGGTGTAAAGACGTTCTTTAGGAGTGAGAAAACGAGTATTGGCAGGACCTTTAGTGAAGAATGCAGCGACAACTACAGCAAGAATAATAGTTGGAATACCCTCAATTAAAAATATCATTTGAAAACTTTTTAATGAGGCTCCTCGTATTTGAACTATTCCATATGCCTGGATTAAGTTTAAATAAATAGCTATATTAGTAAATATTATTGAATTTAAAAATTGTAACATGTTATCACAACAGTTAAAATAGAAACTTACAAGAAGACCAGTAAATGCACCAGCGATGGTGCACAGAGCCATAAAGATACCATACCTAACAGTCAATTCTTTCCTGGCATAAAATAAACATATATAGTCTATAACAGCAGGAGAAAATCCAGCTTCTGCCGCTCCTTTATTAATTAATTAATAAATTTTTAGCAATATTATT